TCTCCCTTTCATAGACTTGCGAGTCGTATACTTCAAATCAAATTCAGAGAGAAGAAGCAACCAACGGGCTAGCCTACCCGTAAGCGCTGATTTCTGAAAGAGGTATTTGATGGGATCTAATCTCGAAACCAGAATTATGGAGTGAGCTAATAGGTAGTGCCTCAACTTCCTGGTAGCCCATACCAAGGCCAAACAACCCTTATCGAGTGAAGTGTAATGGGTTTCATATTCTAGCATCTTCTTGCTCAGGTAATAGATGGCCTTCTCGACCCTATCCTTAGATTCCTGTGCAAGCATGTAGCCTATTGTCATGTCAGTTACTGACAAGTACAAAATCAATGGTTTTCCCTGCTCTGGCGGCGACAACGTGGGTGGGTTTTGTAGATACTGCTTGATCTGCTCAAAAGCAACCTCGCATCGGTCATCCCACTGGAATTTCTTTCCTTTCTTCAGGAGACCAAACAGTGGTTCACAAGTCAAGGTTAATTTTGTAATAAACTGTCTTATGAATTGCACTTTACCCAGAAAGCCTCGTACCTCATTTTCAGTCCTCGGTGGTGGCATTTCTAAGATGGCCTTAATCTTGTGTGGAGAAGTGGTTTGGAAATACTCTTCTGATCCTGGGGAACGCTTGTGATCCTCTTACGGTCACCTGAAAAGGAATATGTACTCCGGCGGGGGTGCCGGAATCAGCACTCCGACGGACAAGTCAGTAACCACACTCAGGAATACTTTTATTCTAAGTTAAGCATTACAATTCTTACATACCTCTTTCTGGCTAATGTTCTTCTATTTATATCTTTTCTTCCATGGTCCTCAGGATTAGGTCCATTTCCAACTCATATTTGGCACATCTTATAATAGACCGACCCTCACTCGGCCCCTTGCCTAATCGGCTATTTGGCTGAATAGGGTTGGATTTGAACATAGGAGTCAATTGCCGAGTGCTTCGAATCTCGACTCTCCGAGATTCGACTATCTAGAATCTCTACGACTCCCTCTTCTCGGCCCCCACACATGCAATTTTCCAAAATTGTCCCGTTTTCCATCTCAAAACTATGCAATGCCAGATTATATATAAATTCATGAAAAATAATCCTTTTATACAGAAAACAAGGCAGTGGATACAACACATTGGGAATCTCTAGATACGTGTCTGCAAGTAGGCTGTATAAGCACTACCAGAGCCATTTTACTGGCACTAATGAGAAGGATTGACACCTAACCGTGCGGGTTTCTGGACTTTCACTAAGGACACACAGGCCAACATAATAAAACCACACTATACCCCTAACCAGATTCACCACGATATTCATTCATTTTTCTCAAAAACATTTACAATGTTCAATGTATAATCATGCTCAATGCATAATGGATGAGAAATTAGTTTCAATTCAACCTAATCCTCATGAAATGTCTACAACAATCAAGACTATCCTCCGTCGATAGCCCAAAA